AGTACAGTAAAGTCCACTCCAGGCCTGTCCATTCTAGTTCAGTCCAGTCCATTCCAGTACCGTCCAGTCCAGTCCAGTCCACTCCAGTGCAGTCCATTTCACGCCAGTTCAGTCCAGTCCAGTCCAGTTCAGTCCAGTCCAGTCCAGTCCAGTCCAGTCCTGTTCAGTCCAGTCCAGTCCAGTCCAGTCCAGTCCAATCCAGTCCACTCCAGTCCACTGCAGTCCAGTCCAGTCCAGTGCAGTCCAGTCCAATCCAGTCCAATCCAGTTCACTCCACTCCAGTCCGGTCCAGTTCAGTCCAGTCCAGTCCAGTCCACTCCAGTCCAGTCCAGTTCAGTCCAGTCCAGTCAAGTTCAGTTTAGTACAGTTAAATCCACTGCAGTCCAGTCCAGTTCAATCCAGGCCAGTCCAGTCCAGTCCAGTCCAATCCACTCCAGTCCAGTTCAGGCCAGTCGAGTGCAGTCTATTTCAGTCCAGTCCAGTCCAGTCCTGTCCAGTACAGTCCAGTACAGTTCAGCCCAGCCCAGTCCAGTCCAGTCCAGTCCAGTCCATTTCAGTTTTGTCCAGTCCAGTCCAGTGCAGTGCATCCAAGTACAATCCAGTCCAGTCCAGTCTAATCCAGTAGAGTCCAACACAGTCCAGTCCATTCCAGTCCAGGCCAGGGCAGTCTTGTCCAGTCCAGTCCATTCCAGTACGGTCCATTCCAGTCCAGTCCACTCCAATGCAGTCCAGTTCACGCCAGTTCAGTCAAGTCTAGTCCAGTCCAGTCCAGTCCAGACCAGTCCAGTGCAGTTTAGTACAGTCAAGTCCACTCAAGTCCAGTCCACTCCATTCCACTCCAGTCCAGTCCAGTCCAGTCCAGTCCAGTCCAGTCCAGCCCAGTCCAGTCCAAACCAGTCCAGTGCAGTTTAGTACAGCTAAGTCCACTCCAGTCCAGTCCATCCAATCCAGGGCAGTCCAGTCCAGTCCAGTCCTACCCTGTCCAGTGCAGTCCAGTCTTGTATAGTCCAGTCCAGTGCAGTATAGTACAGTTAAGTCCGCTCCAGTGCACTCCAGTCCAGTCCAGTCGAGTGCAGTTTAGTAAAGTCACGTCCACTCCAGTGCAGTCCAGTCCAATCCAGGCCAGTTCAATCCAGTCCAGTCCTACCTTGTCCAGTCCATTCCAATCCAGTCCCGTCCAGTCCAGTTCAGTCCAGTCCAGTCCAGTCCAGTCCAGTGCAGTCCAGTCCAGTCCAGTCCAGTCCAGTCCAGTGCAGTCCAGTCCAGTCCAGTCCAGTCCAGTGCAGCTACGTACAGTCACGTCAAGTCCAGCCCAGTCCAGTCCAGTCCGGGACAGTCCAGTCCAGTCCAGTCCAGTCCAGTCCATTTCAGTTTTCTCCAGTCCAGTCCCGTGCAGTCCAGCCAAGTCCAATCCAGTCCAGTCCAGTCTAATCCTGTAGAGTCCAACCCAATCCAGTCCAGTCCAGTCCAGGCCAGTCCAGTCTAGTCCAGTCCAGTCCATTCCAGTGCAGTGTCGTACAGACAATTCCACTCCAGTCCAGTCCAGTCAAGTCCAGTCCAGTGCAGTTTCGTACAGTCAACTCCACTCCAATCCAGTCCAGTCCATTCCAGTCAAGTCCAGTCCTGACCAGTCCAGTCCAGAACAGTCCAGTGCAGTTTCATACAGTCAAGTCCACTCCAGTTCAGTCCACTCCATTCCAGTCCAGTCCAGTCCAGTCCAGTCCAGTGCAGTTTAGTACAGTCAAGTCCACTCCAGTCCAGTCCAGTCAAGTCTACTCCAGTCCAGTCCAGTGCAGTCCAGTCCAGTCCAAACCAGTCCAGTGCAGTTTAGTACAGTTAAGTCCACTACAGTCCAGGCCATTCCAATCCAGGGCAGTCCAGTCCAGTCCAGTCCTACCCTGTCCAGTGCAATCCAGTCTAGTATAGTCCAGTCCAGTGCAGTATAGTACAGTTAAGTCCACTCCAGTCCACTCCAGTCCAGCCCAGTCCACTCCATTGCAGTCCAGTCCACTCCAGTCCAGTACTGTCCAGTCCAGTCCAGTCGAGTCCAGGTTTGTCCAGTCCGGTACGTTCCAATTTAGTCCAGTCCAGTCCAGTCCAGTCCAGTCCAGTCCAGTCCAGTCCAGTCCAGTAGAATTCCGTACAGTCCAGTCCAGTCCAGTCTAGTCCAGTCCGATCCCGGCCAGTCCAGTCCAGTCCAGTCCAGTCCAGTCCAGTCCAGTCCAGTCCAGTCCAGTTTCCACACCAGTCCAGTCCAGTGCAGTTTAGTACAGTTATGTCCAATCCAGTCCAGTCCATTCCAATGCAGGGCAGTCTAGTCCAGTCCAGTCCAACCCTGTCCAGTGCAATCCAGTCTAGTATAGCCCAGTCCAGTGCAGTATAGTACAGTTAAGTCCATACCAGTCCAGTCCTGTCCAGTCATTCCACAACATTGCAGTCCAGTCCACTCCAGTCCAGTTCACTACATTCCAGTCCAGTCCTGTCCACTGCAGTATAGTAAAGTCACGTCCACTCCAGTCCAGTCCAGTCCAATCCAGGCCAGTGCAGTCCATTCCAACCCTGTCCAGTCCAGTCCGGTCCAGTCCAGTCCAGTCCAGTCCAGTCCATTCCAGTCCAGTCCAGTCCAGTCCAGTCCAGTGCAGTTTCGTACAGTCAAGTCCAGTCCAGTC